CAAACAAATGTATGCAAATAGACCAACATTATGGTATATTTAATACAAGTAAATTCAAAATTGCAATATTATTTGAATATAATTAAACGATTTTTATTTTTTWAAAGTTGTAATCATAGATATAAGATAAGATGGTTGTAATAACCTGATAACAGATAAGAGATTTCAATTTATGAAATGTYACTAGCGCATGCGCAAAACGGTCACGGTTCAGTTCTGTGTTTAGACGCTCCTGGTGGGACGGCGGCACCTATGGCCGGGCGGTGAGTAGGAGAGGTGGTGGTGGTGGTGGTGGTGGTGGCGTATGATGAGGATGAGGAGGAGGATGAGGATCTTGTGATTGAATTCTCTATTTTATACTACTGATGACCCTGCCATGACCATTAACGTGGTCACTTTTTGTGTGATAAGAGTTGATAATAGTTTATCTAATAATTGTTATTGTTATTGTTACTGCAGATTACAAGTTACAACCTATCATGGTTGATACGGAATGGCCATTGAAGTGTGTAAGTATTTGTTTTTGTTTATGATCAATAAACGTTTTATCAATAACGGGCTCAATTACATTTTAATTTAGGATCGTCGTGCTGCGGTGTTATGCGTAGCTGATGACGCCTGCCTTAAAACTATATTAGACAAAAAACTGGACATAGCGACCCACAGGAACAAAACTCCTCAATTCTTTATCGAAGATGCTGAAATTCGAATCATAGAAAGACAAGCACGAATTTATAATGATTTTTGTATGAAACCAATCCCATATACCATAGTCAGACACGAACGGTTTGACGAAGTTAATGGTAATTTATAGTGATATTTATATATATTTTTTTAATAAGTAATCTTTATTTAATTGTGCTTAAATTATGTGCGAAGGTAGTGGCAATTAGGTACATACCTAAAAATACTGTGTTGTTTGAGTTGTGCGGGCAACTGTATGCGGTCAGCGACCATTTTTTAATACCAGGAGTAAATGACTTCTCGACGGTGACATCAAGTATAAATGATAAGGACTACATGTTCCTTGGTCCAGTTGCCTTCATCAATCACGATTGTAGTCCAAATGTTCAGTGGCACAGCCGAAGTAAATCATTATCTTGTGTCAAGACAATTAGAAACATTCTAACAAACGACGAAATCTTAGTGTCCTATGGACACCACTATTTTGGTAAAAATAACATTGAATGCAAATGTAAAACCTGCGAAAATAATTGCAGGGGATTCTTCTCAGTAAAAGAATGTAAGCACTTATATTTACCGCATGATGCTCAAATTAATTTCAACATCTATACATGTAGCATTGTTTTGATTACATTATATTTTTTTTATTACAGCAGTAAGTATGGATATCATTCAGGAGGATGCAGTGACACAGCCAATGGGGATAGACTCAATTAATATGAACAAAAGTGATGATAATAATAGTGACGACGACGATGATGATGATGATGATATAAGTGGTCCTAGCAATTTGAATACCAATACAGGTAATAACAATGCTCACCTAAGCTTTTTGTTTATGTCATTTATGTGATTGTAGGGACAATATTTATTATAAAATAATTTTTCAAATTTATGATATATTATCATACATATGCTGCATGATGCTACAATATGTCCCAACTTTAAATTCAAATATCTACACCTGCAGCATTGTTTTTAATACATTATATTTTTTTTATTACAGCAGTAAGTATGGATATCATTCAGGAGGATGCAGTGACACAGCAAACTGTGAAGCAAAGTGTGATAGACTTAATTAATATAAACAAAAGTGATGATCAGAATAGTGACTACGACGATGATGATGATAGCAGTGATTGTGAAAATCATATATCAAATGATAATGGTAATAACAATGATTACTGTATATTTTATTTTTATGGAAGCATCATTTGGATTTTTTTCATTTCCAGTTAATGCATACCAATGTGACCAATGCCAGAGAACATTCAAATTTCATTCATGGTTTAAGAACCACAAGACCGCCCACATTGCAGTTGGCATACATCAGTATAACTATTGTCCAAAAAAATTCAAAAGAAAAGATAACCTACAACGGCATTTCTTAAGCCACTTCGGTGGCGTCAACTTTGACTGTACCCAATGTGGTCAGTCATTTAATTTAAAATTTAATTTATCCATGCACATTAAAATGATACATTCAGGGATCCATTTACACAAATGTTCTCAATGCGAAATGAGATTTAAAGATGAAAGGAATAAACGGTACCACGAAAATGTAAAGCACAATAATGTGTATCCTTTTGTGTGCCCTTGCGGAGCAAAATTCGGTGCCCCAAACCTTTTGTGTCGTCATAGAAGAAAAAATGTAAGTTATCATAAATATCATAAATAACTTATTGTCTGGGGGACGGTGTGGCCAGGCGGTATAAGGCGTCGGCTGCGACGCGCACCGTCGCCGGTTCGAACCTCGGTCACGGGCGGCACTTCTCTTCGGACAGTCACGGTGTCTGGAGAGAGAGGCCGCCATCCCCCCACCCGGGCATGGCAGAAACCTACGGGTGCCCATTCGAAATTCTGCCAAAACAACCACGTGTTTACAACCTACAGTACCTTCCCCTACAGTACCACAGGCTAATGACCTCAGTTGTCGAAGCCTTAACCCCAATAAAAAAAAAAAAAAAAACTTATTGTCTCAAGCCAAAAAATAACTAATTGATTTATAACCATTTCATGTTTCAGGAACATTAATCATCATCAAAACCGCCACTCCGGAAATAGTAGCAGATTATTTTTAAGACATTAATTAGTCATGTAAATGTATTATAATATTATTAATTAAATATATAGAAAAAAAATTAATTAAAAAAATATTTATACTCTTCACCCTGCACTCTGAACCTCAACACAATACTACGTTTCGTTTATTATCAATGTCTAATAGACTGTGTAGTGTGTCGATTTAGTTTACATATTCATTTATGTGTCATATGTGTTTGTAATGATTTTAATTGTCAAAAAGAACAATGAATTTTCTGCAGGTGTAATGTAATGTATATTAAATGTAAGCAAGTACCCAGTAGTACGCAATAGTATACAAGTAATATAAAAAAAAAATACATAAGTACATCATTGTAAAATCAATACATTCATCGTTAAATTATATGAACGTTTACTTATTATGTTATAAAAATGTAATGTAAAATAATACTCAAACATAAACATCATACACTTATAGACCTGCTATGTACTGCAATGATTCTGAAAAAAAAATTAAGTTTAATACACTAACATAATAGTTTTTTTATAAAATTGTATAATCACCATTAATTTGCGATGACGGTATAATTCATTTGGAGCATGGAATCTGATATCGCATACAGTACATTTAAATGGCATTATTCCAGTGTGGATTCTGTTATCATGGTACTTTAGTTGCCTAACGTCACAAAAGGTTTTGTCACATTTTGAGCATGAAGAAGAAGAAGCATTACTATGCTTAGTTTTCATATGATATGACAAGTTGAATTTTAAATTAAAAGTTGCCGGACATTTTTTGCATTTGTATAATATGCCACCGAAATGTATCGTTAAATGTCGTCTCAAGTTATCCTTACGTTTGAACACTTTTGAACATTTGTTACATTCAAAAGTTCCTGTCCCGTGTGTCAATTGATGCTTCAGGTACCATGACTCATGTTTGAATGTAGCTTTACAATGACATGTATAAAACGACTGCAATTGTGTTCTACCCAAGTCTCCTTTGGAAAATGCGTCGCTAACGTCAATTGGAGTTAACTCTAAATCACAGCCACGAAATTATCGTTACATTTTTGACCAAGTTTTGTAAAGCGGCAGGTGCTGGCCAGTCCAGTGCAAGTGGACGTGAAAAAGCATCAACTACAAAACCTGACAAAATCACAACACTGCATACTACACAATCGAAGTTCAAAAGACCTAAACCAATGCACGCTAATGCAAATGAACAAAAAAAATCATTCTCGTGTCAAGTGTGTAAGGCAACACCGGAACATTTATTTATTTATTGTCCGGACTTCAAACAAAAAACACCAGCCGAAAGACATCAGTTGATAAAGGATCTCAATCGATGTTACTTGTGTTTCAGTGAACACATGTCGGTGGACTGCAAGAGTACACGAGTGTGTGAGGTGTGTGGGAGACGCCATCATTCTTGGCTACATTGGGACAACAATGCAGTGGAGGACCAATCAAATACTTTATTGTCCTCTGTAGGCAATTTGCCAATACGCTCACAAGTGCTCATGTCTACCGTAGAAATTCTCATACAAGACGCCAATGGGTGTTATCAAAGAGCACGAGCATTGTTAGATTCTGCTAGTGAGAGTAGCTACATGACCGAAAGTTGTCGACATAGACTAGGTGTATCGCGGCAGAAGTGTCATTTAGCAGTTAGTGGCATATCTGGAGTGAAAGTACCCACGATAAAAGCTCGAGCGCAAGTAATTATTCGCCCTGTACGACACCATGAACCGCAAATGACAATCGAAGCGTATGTAGTAACACAAATTACCGGATGTACACCGTCCAAACATATACGAGATGCAGATTGGGTGCATCTAAAAGATCTAGCCGATCCAAATTTCAACGAACCATTACCTGTAGACGTACTGCTAGGCGCCGAAGTTTTCCCCTACATCATACGAAGTGGGCGACGGGAGAATTTACTAAGTGAGCCAGTTGGTATCGAAACAGTGTTCGGTTGGGCTCTAATGGGAAACACTGGTAACACTAATCCTAAGAGAAGCACTACGTTATTAACATCTTTGGACAGTGTAGATCTTGTGTTACGACGGTTCTGGGAAATAGAGGAAGTACCAAATGCGTCAAAGACGAGTCCGGCAGAAGAGGAATGTGAGCGTATTTATCATTCTACGACTACACGAGAATCAGATGGTCGATACGTTGTACATTTACCATTCAATTGCAAACCGCCGCAGCTTGGACAGTCACGACAAATGGCCCTCAACCGGCTTTATCGTTTAGAATCCCGACTAGATAAGTTGCCGCAGCTACGACAACAATACAATACTGCCATGCAGGATTATCTCGATAGCGGTCACATGCAAATAGTACCAGAAGCCACACCCGAACCGGAACAGGCTTATTATACTCCACATCAAGTAGTGATTAAACCTGACAGTACTACTACAAAAGTGAGAGTTGTGTACGATGCGTCAGCTACTACTTCGAACGGGAAGTCGTTGAATGACAACCTTTATCCTGGTAAAAAATTACAACAAGACTTGCCGGGTATAATCATCAGATTCCGGGTACATGAAGTTGTGGTTACAGCTGACATTAAGCAAATGTTCAGGCAAATCATCGTTACTCCCGCACATAGACAATATCAGCGGCTCCTTTACCGATTTCAAAGTTCAGAACCTATTCAAACTTTTGAAATGACCACTGTGACCTTCGGCCAACGATCTTCACCATTCTTAGCAATAAGAACGCTACTTCAATTAGCGAGCGACGAAGCAGGTGGCTACTCGGATGTTCAACGAGTTCTGCGTAACGATCTGTATGTGGACGATGTGGTCACTGGTGCCGACTGTGTAGAAAGTGCGCTTCGACTTCAACAAAATCTCATAAAAGTTCTAAAGAATGGGCAGTTTGAACTACGTAAATGGTCCAGTAACTCGGCTAAGGTATTAGACGCCTTACCCAAAGAACATCGACAAAACCAAGACGTTACGTTTAACGGAGGTGAAATTGAGTTTACCAAAGTACTTGGTTTAAAGTGGGAGCCAAATAGTGACGTATTAACCTATCAACACCAAACGAATTCTATACAGTTTAGCAAACGTCATATTTTATCGGAAATCGCGCGTATTTACGACCCTATTGGGCTGTTAGCGCCTGTAACCACTCATCTCAAGAAGCTTATGAAATATTTATGGTCACTGGGTGTTGGATGGGATGACCCATTGCCCCAAGACGCGATGGATGCTTGGAAGTGTTATCACAATGAATTACCACTAATAATAGGACAAGTACGAGTGCGACGACAAGTTACTTGCACCGGATCGACCTACGAACTACATGGATTTTGCGACAGCTCGGAGATTGCCTACGCCGCTGCTGTGTACATCTTAGCTCKAARACCAGACGGGACCATGCATTGTCAGCTTCTAATGGGCAAATCAAAAGTAGCACCCGAAAAAAAGTTGTCCATTCCCAGATTGGAATTATGCGGAGCACTACTCCTCGCTCGAGTTATCACTTATGTGCGTACCAACCTAACTACATTACAGATAAGCCGCACCACTGCCTGGTCGGACTCAACAGTAGCTCTAGCATGGATAAAAACACCAACTTCGAAACTAAAAACTTTTGTAGCAAACCGTGTTGCCCAGATACAGCATATGACGTCACCAGATACATGGAGACACGTGCCAACTGCACATAATCCGGCAGACTGTGCATCGCGTGGTTTGACCCCAGGAGAATTAGTCAACCATACCATGTGGTGGATGGGGCCAGACTATCTGAAGAAACCAGAGGAGTTATGGCCTAAAATCGACATAATCGCATCAGATGAGAACGAAAAAAATGAACACGTTGAGACCAAAATAGTTACACTGATGACTACTGAAACCATAACCGAATGCCCACTCCTATATCAATCGGACAATTGGCCTAAAATTCTGCGTTTAACTTCTTACTGGCTTCGAATGCGCGATTGTTTACGGAAGAAGGCCGTGCCAGATAAAGCTGTTCCACCCGCCACAGTGGAGACAACCAATGCGATGTGGGCTCTGGTTCACTGGACGCAAAGAGTTTTCTTCGCAGAAGAGATAGAAAACCTGCGGAACCACCGTAAGTGTTCCATAAAGTTACGGACATTGGCCCCTTTTTTGGACAAACAGAATCTACTTCGAGTGGGAGGACGCCTGCGACATTCAGATTTGTCCTACAATGGAAAATACCCAGTGCTTTTGCCCAAAGAAGCTCGCTTGACGGCAGTTCTGATTGACTACGTGCACCGTAGTAATTGCCATCCAGGTCCCAACGCAGTACAAAACATTCTGCAACAGTCCTTTTGGATAATATCGGTGCGAGGTGTTATCCGAAAGAGAATACATCGTTGCATACCTTGCTTCCGAGCTAGTCCTCGGTCCCCATAGCCATTTATGGGGAACCTTCCACGTGCGCGTTTGGACCACGTAAARGCCTTTAATAAAACCGGCGTAGACTTTGCAGGTCCTTTTAATGTAAAGGCCGCACTGTTACGAAAACTTCGCATAACAAAAGCATATTTGTGCGTCYTTGTGTGCATGTCAACCACCGCAGTGCATTTGGAACTCGCATCGGACCTTTCTACACCGACGTTCATGGCAGCTCTAGATCGGTTTCTCGCACGTCGAGGGCAATGTTCGGACATGCATAKTGACTGTGGCACGAATTTTACTGGTACTCAACGGTATCTGAGTGAAGTTCATGACATCATCAGTTCGCAGGCCTACACGCGTCATGTAACTGAGAAGCAGATAACATGGMATTTTAATCCACTATCAGCCCCTCACATGGGTGGAATGTGGGAAGCAGCTGTTAAGTCGGCGAAAACATTGTTGAGAAGAGTCATACAAGATCAAATACTGACATACGAAGAGCTGAACACCATTTTGCATCGAGTAGAAGCGTCTCTAAACTCACKACCCCTAGGTGCATTATCGTCAGACCCCAATGATTACACGCCGTTAACCGCTGGCCATTTTATATCGATGGGACCGCCGGCTAAGATACCAGTACCAGACAACGAAGATCGTCCGGTCTCCGTCAGCTTGCGACAACGATGGACACTGGTCAAACAAATCCAACAACACTTCTGGCAAAGATGGCAGCGGGAGTATTTAACAACGTTGCAACCACGCAAAAAATGGCTGAAAATAGCCATAGACCTCCAGGTGGGTCAACTTGTTCTAATCAAAGAACCATCACCAGCCCTCACGTGGAAAACCGCGCGTATCGTGGAAGTTTACCCATGAACGGATGCCATAACCCGGGTCGCTGATGTCAAGTTGGCCAACGGCACCGTTCTACGTCGTCCCGTGGTTAAGCTGTGCCCTTTGCCACTATCCAATTGAAGGTCGCTACTTTCAAGGAGGCCGGTATGTTCGGAACGTGAAGCAGTTATACGGCGTCCCGGTTCATATCGGCAAATGCGTTGCTGCAGTATGCAGGCCGCCCGGCACCTATGACCAGTACCGTTCGGCCTACCGTCCGACTCACCACGTTAACTACCGACCGACCGTTCATAGCCATTGTTACCGTCATCGTTTTGTGTATCATTCTGAACATATACCGTCATCACTACCAGTACCGTCCACCAACCATACCTTGAGCCGTTGATTGTCCAGCGGACTGCTGTCGCCCAACACGGTTTTTATATACATATATTTTGTTATTATTGTGTTTATACCGTAATTAGTTTTTACCTAACATTATTATTATTTATTGTATTAATTATTGCCCTCCGCTGGCCAGCACTATTGTGCCCCCTACTTCACCTAAAGTATTAGTTATTATTATMATTTTTATTTGAATAGTAGCACCCGGTGACACCGTGGCAAACATAAGTTGTTGCACCATTATTTATCCTTTTGATCTTACATACCGATTATACAGTCCATTCCTACCTCCGATCATTTACAGAAAAAATCATTAAAAAAAAACCCTGTCTGGGAATACCTACAATTACAACTATGGTTTAACATAAGTATAAGATATTATTACTTATTATATGTATTAAAAATAAGCTATTACAATTATTGTTTGTTTTATCTACAAAAACTAWTAATATTTAAATTATGTTTAATAATCTTACACTGAAGAAGAAGGTGTATTATCCAACATCGATGTTGATGGTGATGACTGATAATCACTTTGACTTTGCGAATCAGTTTGTTGAGTATTACCTTCGTCTTCATCAGTTTYATCAACATTATCACTAATAAACCAAAAACAATATAAATATATAATACAATATACAATATTTATTACACTTAAATATTTAATTGAATTACAGTATAAAAAATAAAAAGCAATCATAAATATTAAATGGTAAGTATAGGACATAGGTATATATCATATATGTCATATGATCATAACTCATAAGTAGGTATCCTTACTTTCCAACAAGAGATTTTAAATTTTTAAACTCCAAATGAATGTTTGGGTGGTGAGACCTCAGATGAGATATTAAATTGCTTGTATTTCCACCTTTAGCTTCAAACTGTTTTTTACACTTATTACATACACCTTTATCTTTATTATTTTTACTAAAGTATATCCAAATTTTTGAACGTTGCTTGGCCATACCTGAAAAATAATTAGGGAAGTATTTAAAAAATAGATAGTACTTAACTTATAAGAAATATAAAAATGGTACATACATTTAATTGAAAAATATGTTTATTAGGGACAATGTAGCTCACCAAGCAACAAAAATATTGCTTGGTGTCTTAGGTCGGTATAGATAGTACTTAACTTATAAGAAATATAAAAGTGGTACATACATTTAATTGAAAAATAAGTTTATTAGGGACAATGTAGCTCACTAAGCAACAAAAATATTGCTTGGTGTCCTAGGTCGGTTAAATAAAGAGTTACCAATCATTCGTTTTCAGAATGATTGTGATATGAAATTTTGGTGATAAATTGAATGTTTGGTTTTATAATTGGTTGAAATTATAAATAATTTAATATAATATAATAATAATGACCAGACATAAAATTCTAAAAAAAAAGTACATTTTAAAGTGTAGCTTTATAGTTATACATGCATACTCCAATGTGAACCAAGGTACAATACCTACATGTTATAGGTACTATGGCATGAACCATTTTTAAGGTTTTTAAGACAATTTAATTTTAAAAAAAATTGATTTGGAAACTTGCCAAAAATATTAACATAATATACTTTACTTATGTTTTACTAATATGCAAAAATAGATTAAATCATAATAAATAATGAAATAATGTAATTAATTCAAAGACTCGCAGCGTCTCAAAATCATAGTTTTAAATTAAAACTTTTTATATGGATGTACTATACATATAGTAACATACCTACTGGCTACTACTATTTAAACATTTGTACATTAACATTATATAGAGATACTGCCTATTCTTAATGTTAATTTCATTCTGATTTAGAGTTGGAATATTTTTACATGAACAAGGAYATAATATTAAAATTTTAAGATTTGTCATTAACACATTTATCTTATAATTTAAATTAATTTTTTTAGGGCCACTCAGCCTTTGGTGTCAATCATTAAATTTGTTATAATATTTACTTGTTTGAAATTATGAGTAGGTAACATAATAATAATAATAATTTAAGMTATACATACCGACTATCGATTTAAAATAATAGACCTTTGAATACGTTTTTGAATAACTTGATGATCTTGATGTGTAATTAAATTTGTAAGTCAGATAAATAGAACCAGAACGACAATATTAGTAGGTATTTAGTTGTAGTTTTAACAGAATGACAAATTGAAACGCTAGTAGTTAATACCGATAAATGTAATGATTAACAATATTAAATAAATTACAAGACAATCACTAGTTGGGCACACAACAGTCGACAGTAACCAGTCTACCAAGAAATCGTGTTTCTCGTATCTCGTTGTACATAATTCCTGTATAAATATAAATGATAAGGTCCAGAATTCCCAATACTAAAAACGTAGGTAATTTTATAAATAGAAAAATGTCGTCGTTTATACGGTTTACGGTTTTTATGATATACCGTTTATTTGGTTTTTACGGTATACCGGTATACGGTTTAGACGATATTTCACGGTATACCGTAAATTACGGTTTTTTACGTTATACCGTATATCAAAATAATTTTAAAAGACCGGTATACCGAAATACCGGTATACCGGTATTTACGGTATACCGAAAATACCGCCAGCCCTATTAAATAATATAAAACTTGGTTTTAATATTGACGGATTGCCTATATCTAAATGTTCCAATAGTGCTTTTTGGCCTATTTTAATGTCTATTACAAATATACCAATTTTAATTAATAAAGTATTCACCATTGGAATTTATCATAGTGACTCCAAAAAACCATATGATGTCGAAGAGTTTTTAAATCATTTTATCGAAGCAATGTTAAATATTTTACAAAATGGCATTATTATTGATAATAACACCTTTGGATTTTCAATTAGTCAAATAATATGTGATGCACCAGTTAAAGCTTATATTCTTAATGTAAAAGGTCACATGGCTTATTTTGGGTGCAATATGTGTATTGAAGAAGGTGATTTTATTAAGGGAATGACATTTCCTGGTGTAAATGCTCCACGAAGGACAGACGAAAGTTTTCGCAGCAAGACCAATGAAGATTACCATAAAGGATCATCTCCCTTAGAACGTCTACCTATTGATATAATTTCTGTGGGTAGTCTCGACTATATGCATGTGGTATGTCTTGGCGTAGTTAAAAGGTTGATAAGATTTTGGGTAAATGCAAAAAAAAATGGTGAGAATTCCTGAAGAAAAACTAAATTTATTAGATATAAATATAGAAAACGTAAGAAAATTGTTGAAGTACACCAGATACACAGAAGCTAAAGGTAAATAATAATAAGATCGGATATATGACATACATTGTAATAATATAATAATAATATGTATAATTGATACGAATAACTATAGTGCTCCGAGGCGTAATATAAAACAACGACTAATCGTCCTACAGGCTACTACATAGAACGAATATGATGCTAGTAATACAAAATGCCTATTCAGCGTCTG